GAGGTCCCACTTGTTGATTGCTGACCTTAATTCCTGAGCAATTTCTCTCTGATTTAGAAAATCCTTTCCTACACCTATATCCTGTAAATTACTGCCAATGTTTTCTTCTAGTAGTTTCAGGATTTCCAGTTTGACTTTGAGGTCTTTGATCCATTTGGAGTTGACTTTTGTGCAAGGCAAAAGATAAAGATCTAGTTTCCTTCTTCCACAGGTGGAGATCCAGTTTTGCCAGCACCATTTGTTGAAGAAGATACTGTCTTTCTTCCATTGTGTGTTCTTGACACCTTTGTCAAATATCAGGTAGCTGAAATTGCATGTACTCAGGTTTAGATCTTCAATGATGTTCCATTGATCTGTCTGTTTTTGCACCAGTACCATGCTGTTTTTATGACTATGGCTCTGTAGTATACTTTGAGATCTGGTATAGTAATCCCCCCAGGGTTTCTCTTTGTGCTTAGGGTTGCTTTGGCTATCCAGGGTCTTTTGTGGCCCCATATGAATTTAAGGATGCATTTTTCTAATTCTGTGAAGTATGTCACAGGGATTTTGATTGGCATTGCATTGAATCTATATATTGCTTTTGGTAGGATGGTCATTTTAACAATATTAATTCTTCCAATCCATGAGCAAGGGAGGTCCTTCCATCTCTTGGTTTAGATTGATTTTATAACCTGCCATTATACTGAAAGTGTTAATAATTTCTAGGAGTTTTCTGGTGGGATTTTTGCCGTCTCTTAGATATAATATATCATCTGCAAAAAGGGATGATTTGATCTCTTCTTTTTCAATTCTTACTCCTTTAATTTCCTGCTCTTATTGCTCTTGCAAGAGTTTCAAGCATTATGTTAAAGAGAAGTGGAGATAGCAGACATCCTTGTCTAGTTGCTGATTTTAATGGGAATGCTTCCAGTTTTTCTCCATTTAGAATGATGTTGGCTGTGGGTTTGTTGTATATGGCTTTAATTATCCTGAGGTAGGTTCCCTCCAGTCCAATTCCCCCTAGGACTTCGAACATAAATGCATGTTGAATTTTGTCAAAGGCCTTCTCTGCAGCTATTGAGATGACCATAAGTTTCTTGTATTTGAGTCCATTTATATGATTTATGACATTTATTGACAGGTATA